CCTGGATCCTTCAACTGTTGCAGCAACTTTCTTTAAATTCTTGAGATGCACTCTTCAGTAAGTATCACTGTCTCAAACTCTATCAACCTTCTTTTGTTAGCCACAATATCTTTGGTATACTTAGCATATTTTGGGATTTCACGTAGCACATCAACCTAATTGTTGGAATTGTTATGATGACTATGCTTAGTTGTTTAACTTGAGAGTTGGGCGTGAGCCGTCCGATGTGAATCATGTGCATTGTGTGATGTGAGGTCTTAATTACATTCTATGCTATCATGTGTTAGTCTAGAACTTGCCCTATGTGTTAGTCGAAGCAAAATAAGTAAGCTTTGTGAGTCTAGAAAATGATGTAGATATTTCTTTGATTGTCCATTGAGCTAGTATGCCATTATAAATAAAATTATCTTTAGATAGCCTATTCGAGCGTATAAACCTTTTCTTTTCCACCCACATTTCAAGTTGATTCCTTTTTGTTCTTAATTAGATTTTCTTGAACCTTTACCTATGAAAGTACTTAAGTTTCTAGAAGAGTAAGGTGAGAGTTGAGGTAACTTTTGAGTGGAACCATAGAAAGGCCAAAAGGTTCACATATATTTTGAAAGATCACTAGCCGGGCAACCCAAATTGGGAGAGCATTGGAAAAAAAAGGTCAAAGAAAATATAAAAATAAAAGAAAAAAATAGAAAATGCACATCTTATTCCTCTTATCCAAGCCAGTGAATACATTGTTGTGCTTAAAGAGAAAGGCCAAATTGTACATGATTTCGTGGCATTGCTTGAATTGGTCATGAAGAGTGTGCATTCAAAAGATAAGTGTAGTGTATTAAAGTACTTAGGAGGGTTAGTCGTTATACCCAAATATATCCTATTCATCCCTTAATCTGCATTACAACCTGAAAAGACATAATTGATCCTGAACTTCCCAAGCTTAGATTAGTAGAGACATATACTATGGGCAAGCCTATAGGATGACCTCGGGATGTTCATGAATTTTTTTGATAGAGTAAGCGAATTCTTTTGATATATAAGTCCTTAAATTATACTTGAATGCATATTTGAGTGTGTGGACTAATTTCTATCTTTACTTTGTGGGGAGAGCACATGATTTATAAAAGATTGATAAAGTCCAAGCACTTTGAGTTGGCACAAGAAGTGAGTTGTAGCTGGAAATATATTGGAGTCATTTTTTGAAGTTGAGATGTTAGGAGAGTCACACAAATATTTTAAGAAGCTTTGGCATGGGTTTAATTTTGAAGAAAGATGTCAATAGTTCTTATATTGGATTCTAAGTGTTGATATAAACCATTATCACTGGTGTGATGCTCGAGTATATTTTGAATTGTGTTTCTTGCCTATACGCTTAATTTAAAGTTGCTCGAGGACAAGCACGAGTTTAAGTGTGGGGTGGTGATAATGGTGAAAAGTTCATATTTTGATTGTGTTTGTGTATTAATTCTTGTGTGAGTTGCGAGAAAAAAAGGATCAAATAGGAGAAAAATTGCCAAAGGAAGAGTTGAAGACAAAAATCTGGGACAGCGAAGGGGGGTTCGCTTCGCCAGATCGGGATCGGAGCAGAAAAAATCAGCTTCTCCAATTCGAATTAGGAGAAGCCAAATTCACACTAAATGAACCCTAAACGATATAAATATAAAGTTAGCCACTTTTCGAAGGGAGAAGACTTTGGGGAGATGCCACTTTGAGAGCAAAACACAAGTATGGAACACTCGGGAGCACGAAATTCATCAATTCTTCCATCCTTCATCTAGTATTCATAGCTTTTATATTTAAAAATAATATGTTGATTATTGTCATGAACATGAGTGGCTAAGAACCCCATTATTCTGGTGTTATGGGTCGTTATTGACTATTGTAGTTTGGCGGTTGATTGTGTTGCTTGATTCTCATATTAATTTGTTTATTAAATCTTGCACTTAATTATTCTATTGTGTAGCTAACAATAGAGTACTATCTACAAATTTAAAATTGAACTCGAAAGTGGGAACTATAAATTGCATATAAGGTTGAGTAGAGTAAGTTCTTGAATCTAGGTATCGGAGAATAGATTCGCGATTAGGATTGACATATTCTAGTTGCCTTACTTGGTTATTTTTGCAGGAAATATACATGTGTTCTTGTCAAGTTTGATTCTATAGACATATAGTCTTAGGTTGGCTTGAATAAGCGAGCGAAACGTCGAAAAAACTTCGCGAGCATAATAAATCTTGTTAATCAACATAGTAGATAAGTCAAGTGATTACATCACCCGGAAGAACGCAATAGGAGAGACATTAATCCCATACCCCTGGAATGTCGCCATCTCATTGAATTCTTTCTAAACTAGCGTTTGACCATAGATTCCCAAATTTATTTTGAAAAATCTGATTTAGGTGAAGTTTGGTTTGAAGATGAAAATGTGTTTAGACATAAGTTTCCAAAATATTTCACTTTTTTAAAAAAAAATATGAAACATGACTTATGCCCACAAGTTCTAAAATTATCAAAAATACCCAACAGAACTTTTATCAATAACATTCATTATATTATCGCAAATCATAGTATTGAACATAAATAAATGCAGTCCAAAATTATTATTTTTATAATGAATTACATAATACACTATCAGATGACCGAAAAGATGAAGCATCATTGTTACAAAATAATAAATGACAGGTTCTTTTATAAAATATAAAAGTTTGGGGTAATTTTTAAAAAATGTAATAATGATATTTTGGGCCAAAACCAGCTCTTGTTTTGGGATTTGGGTTTTGAAAATTTGTCAAAATGTAGATAAAATCTATGGCCAAACATGTATTTGTCAAACAAAAAAAAACAAATATGTTTTGGCAAAATCTATAGCCAAACGGGTCCTAAGTGTTCGTTTGCTCTACTTACGATCTTATTTTCTTATATAGCCGACATATAATATATATATATATATATATATATATATATATAATCTATGTATAATATAGTTATAAATATATATAGCTAATGTATACATATATTGACAAAAAAAAAGTAAACAATATAATGTGACCGAGTAATTGTGTAACAATTCCAAAAAAAATTCCCCTTAGTGGAAAATGACTCTTCTTGGAAATCAACTGAAGTCATTTTCCGAATCCAAAACATAACACGCGTTCATAGGCATAAAGAGGTCGGCCCATACATATTCACGCGATGAGATGTCAATTTGGCAATACGGTCCGCTTTTCATCTAATTTCGCTCTTTATGTTTTGCGGTCAATGTCGCAAAGTAATAAATGTGCTTTACCATTGGAAAAATGGCACGGGACGCCTTATTTGGTCGCCCTCATTTAATCCATACCTATTTTTTAAAATATTTTAACTTGTACCCACTTTTTAAAAAAATTCAGCCCCTTTTTTTCTCCTCTTTTTCCTCCTCAAAGTTTTATCTTTTCTTTTTCCAGGAGTAAGGTTCATCCCTATCTATTTCTTCTTATTTCTTCGGTGAGTCCTATAAATTTTCAATTATTTTTTCCTTTTTACTGACACCCTCAGCTGTAAAGGTTCTATAATGGTTTTGCAACTTGAATCTTATGCACAATTTTGATGTGAAAATGGGACAAGAAAAATTAATTATTAATTTTATATTGTTGTTTGGTGAGTTGGGTCTGGCAGAAATTGGAGATTTCAGTTATCGATTGGATTGGTAATGTGTTGATGTTGTTTTAAGTTACTTCGTGTGGGTACAACATGCCCCTAGAGCTCTAGAGCTGAAGTTCTCCAGTTACAAATAAAAACATTCGACAGTTACAAAACAAAAACTTCAGCTCTAGAGCTGAAGTTCGCCCAGCAAATAGAGAACAAAACTTCAGCTACTATGCTTAAGTTCAACAATTACAAACAAAAACTTTAGCTCACTTGGTTCAACACACTTGCTACTTCAGTCCCGTCTACTAGAATGCTGAAGTTTTGCGTGATTGTCTTTGCTACTTCAGCCTCGTATGCTTAAGTTACGCGAAAAAATGGGTACGCTTGCAATTTTTTTTGCAAAGCGGGCACAAGTTAAAACGTGACCCAAAAAATGGGTATAGATGCAAATGCCCCTTTACCATTTCATTAAATAAAATTATAAGTTTGGAAAAGAAAAAATCCCACCAAACTAAACACCAAAGTTTTTTTCTAAATATTTTTTTGCCTCACCAACCAAAACTGGAAATGATATGGTGCGGTCCGTTAAGAAGTTCAAAAAGGAAAAAGATTAAAAAATTTAAAAAAATTGTGACAAGTGAAAATTGAACTAGCAATCTAGCAAATATTTTAAATCTTTTTGATTACTGAACTATACTTTTTGGATATATATAAAAAGAATTCAAAAAATATATAAAAAAGGATATATATATATATATACGTAATGTAACTTTTTGGCTAATCCGCTCCTGATAGGGAGCATGTGCCCAGATTGTTTGTGCATAAATTTTAGATATTTTTTTTAATTTTAATTATATCATTGACATTTTTGTAATTATAAAATATTAAAGAAGCTCTTTACTAGATTCTCTAAGCATTATATATAACCCGAAAGTCCCACGTTGGAAATACTTCTATAGAATAATTAATTAATGCAACTAATAAGGATAATTATAATACTATTATTTCAAAAAAGAAAATATCTGAAGTCAGAATTAAGTTGGTAA